GGTCAAGAGAGGTTCTCCTCCCCCTCTACTCATCCCTGGTGAGACCGCATCTGGAATAGTGTGTCCAGTTGTGGGCCCCTCAGTTCAAGAAGGACAGGGAACTGCTTGAAAGAGTCAAGCGCAGAGCCACAAAGGTGATGAAGGGCGTGGAACATCTCCCTCATGATGAAAGGCTGAGGGAGCTGGGTCTCTTTAGCTTGGAGAAGAGGAGACTGAGGGGTGACCTCATCAATGTTTTTAAATAGATAAACGGCGAGTGTCAGGAGGATGGAGCCGGGCTCTTCTCGGTGGTGTCTAACGATAGGACAAGGGGCAACAGGTGCAAGCTGGAGCATAGGAGGTTCCACATTAACATAAGGAAAAACTTTCTCACTGTGAGGGTGACAGAGCCCTGGAACAGGCTGTCCAGGGGGATTGTGGAGTCTCCTCTGGAGACATCCGTAACCTGCCTGGACGCGTTCCTATGTGATCTGCTCTAGGTGGTCCCACTCTGGCAGGGGGGTTGGACTTGATCTTTCAAGGTCCCTTCCAACTCCTAACATTCTGTGATTCTGTGAATATGAATATCTGGTATTCTGTAGGGTTGTTTCAACTCCATGAATCTTGTAGAAACCTTCAGCACAGAGCAGCCTCAGTATGTGTTAGTTACTGTTGCATAGCGTAATGTCAGAGTATTGAATAGAGATAATTATATAATAATACTCTTAACAGTTTTCCCATAAGACATGGAGAAGTTGTAACAGAAAAATCCTCTAATTGTTGCTTGGATTTTCGGATTCTATATTTACACAGAGTTAATGCTTCTTGAGTACTATATTTTGCATAAACATAACATGCTCCACAGAAAAATGAAATGGGGGACAAATTAAGAATAAGATGGAGAGATGACAACAGTCATTTCAGAATGCCATCTGAGAATTAGATAGGTAATTATATAGGTAGCCAGGTAGATGGAGGTTCATATGCATTCGGTAGACAAACTTAGAAAAACTGTGGACTTCTAGCTGATGTATTGTTAATACTTTGTGATGCTTAAATAGTCATTTCTTGTCCCTTGTATAGTCATTCACCTCTGATTACAATAGGTATTACTCTTTCTTGGGTGAATAGTTGAATTTGGTTAGATGGTATACTTGTCTCACTGTGGTGTAAATGAGAACATGTTGTAGTACTGCAGACTGAGAATTTGAACTGGATTTATGAAAGCTTCTGCTGATTATGTGTTTAAATATCTTACATATTAAATTGATTATATCGTAAGATGATCCTTAATATATAGTTTTAAAAGCTATTATGTGTTTGTGTGGAAGAGTGTAATTAATTTTAAAAGTCTCCAATGAATATCTCATTTTACTTTACAGCATTTAGTTATTAGATTATGTAGACAAAAACTGAGCATAAGACTTAAGGCTTGAAATGCAGGAGTGGAGAATCTAGTCAAGATACATGGCAGTCGAATGACAGAGGAAATATGAAATAAGACTTTACTCATCATGCTCAATGGCAAGCATGAAAAAGTCTGCAAATAGGTTTATTATTGCAGAAGAATGCCAGGCTATCTTTCACGTTTGATTTTCATAAATACTTGCCTTTAGACTTTCCCTCAAAACATACAGGGAGGTAATTTCTTTGGCCTACTTACTTCTTTTTGCACAGAACTGACAATCAATCAATTCCCGCTGGAAGCTTTCTCATGGAGCACTTTTGTGTCCCCCCGCTGTTCTGAGGCAGCACGCTGGCGTTTCAGTCCTGTGCTCAGCAGTGGTTCTGGATGAATTGCTTGCTGATGTTATACTTGACCAAAGAGGCTGAAAATTGTTGAGCCAAGCTCAGGGTGTATTAGGATTCTTCCAGGTTCTGTAAAAAGTGCACGACTTTGCAAAGCACTTGAATGCTGTGCGTCGCTGGGGCTTGCCCTTGCCTCCCTGACTCTTTCTGTGATGTGTGTTGGGTTTTTTCCCCTTACGGTTCTGCCAGAGCTCCTAACTTAGGAGCTAGTACCTTGGTGAACGCCAAAAGCAAAAGGAGTCAACGCTTGTGTTTTGTTGAGGTGATGGAAACTGGCTTGATGGTACCTCTGTCTCTCATTGCAGCCCTCTCAGCTGTCAGATGCGGTGATCTCCATGGTAACTCAAACCCCCAGACTCTTGACAGCAGCCTGCGAGGAGCAGCATTCAGCAGCTCGAGGGTCTCGCGACCAGGTAAGCCAACAGTGATCGCCAAACAAGAGCTTACCTGGGGCAGACGGTTTCCTGTCCAACTGCCTTTCAGGTTTTTGCCTGGTGAAGCCACGCATGCAGTTAGTTCTTGTGCATATATGTGATGATGTACTTCTACCGGTGCTGTCACTGAAGGCTGCAGCAGTCCAGCTCTCTCAAATACAGACGTTTGACAGAAAGCGTACATTTATTCAGGGTTTTATTTAAGCTACAGATTGAAAAGCCACAATGTAGCAGAGCAAAGAAGTACTGTATGATTCTTTAAGTGGTTTCAGTGTTAAGTAATTGCTGTGGTAGGAAATAATCCAAAAACACATCAGTGGTAAGATGCATCTTAATGGGTGTCTGTACTGCCCTAACATTAGGCCTCAGCTCTCTTATCCTTCTAGAATGGACCAGAGACTGTTTCTGTGTTCATGTAACATTCATTGGTACTCTGCAGCCTTTTCAAATGGCTGCTGTGCTCTTTTCACACGACTTTCTGAATCCCTCGCTGTGCTAATAACAGCATGTGGGGGATTCTGGTTAACACCTTAAGGAGGTACAGAATTCTTACCCTTTTTTGGTGCATTATGGAGAAAACATCAAGGGAAAAAAAAAATCTGCTGTCTTGGGAAAACAGTGTGGGAGCTATACAGCTGTATTCGCTATTCCAGTATCACTAATGCTGTGAATGAAAATATTATCTCTGGTCTTATGCACTTAGATGTGGGGGAGTTTCATCACTTCTTTTTGTCATAAGGTTTCACTGGCACTCGTATTGAATTATTCCTGTACCATGAAGATTGTATTTATTTTCTAAGTCCTTGATTTCTGTGCACGGTTTTCAGGGTATTGCCTGCATTCTTTTCTTTCTTTCTTTCTGTCTATCTGTCTTTCTGACTTTCTTGCTACATAAGTCCACTTGGGTATAATGCACTGTCCCCATCTTACAAAGCAATCCATATTACTCAGAATAACCCCTCTGCTACCTTTATTAACCAATGTGGCATGTTTTGTGCTGTAACAGCTATCAACAATATTTACTTTCTTATCGTTGATGATACTCCTAGGTAATGTTGAGCTAATACTGGATGATTTTATTGGAGTAATGTAAAGCACTCTTCTTCAATTATTATTTCCTGTTAACATCACATTTGATGATACTAATAATAGTTTCTTACTCTAAATGTTGTGTGGCTGTAAGTTAAATACTGACCAAAAGTCTGGTTATTTCATTTATGGACTAATTTCTATTGACCACAGTTTGTAATTTTTATTAGATGATTAAATCAAACTTTCTGTTTTACTGACCAAGTTTCTATAAAATGGTGTTGACTGGCATCAGTTTGGTTCCTCTCATTTCCCAGTGAATTTATCCTTTATCAGTTCCCTGGTTATTTTGCCTGAGATTAATAATGGCTTAGAGCTCTATAATTACTGGATCATACCGCTTACAATCTTCAAATATTGGCAGAAAATGCTAACAGTCTTACTGAATTTCTCTGGTGTTCCAAAATGTATTGAAAATTAGCATCATTGAAATGATACTCTTGCAAACGCTTTTAGGACTCTAAGGCACAAATTATCTGGGTGTGCTAGCTTAAAGTCGTTTTTTAATATTCATTTTGGTTACTAATGGCCTCCTTATCTCTAAAAATGCTTTTTTTCTACTTGCAGAGAATAAAATGTGTGTTGGATGTTTGGGTTTTTTGCATTCTTCTATTTGTGTTTGTATTCTTTTAAAATATGAATTAAAAGTTGGAGGCCCTCTGCTTTCTGTCTGTTTTCCTTAGCCCAAAATTTCCTACTTGAATTAATTTCTAGCTGAGAGTTGGTTTTTTTTTAATGTGTAATGTATGTTTCAATCTAATTACATCCTTAAGCCAGAATTAAGAGTGTGATTTTATGCCACAGGTTGCCTTTTTTGGACTATTTAATAGTAGCCTTTGATCCCTGGTGGCAGTGGGGTAGGGAGAGTCCACCCACATTTTCATCTCTGTACTTTCTCCCAAATGCAGAGTTTTCCTCTAGTTTACTGGGCCAATGAACTTCCATGCTTGTGATTAACCAAACTTTGCATATTGAATACGCGGTGTAATTATCCTTTTGGTATTTGAAAAAGTATTCTAGGAGTACAATTTGGGAGCACCTGATGTCTTACTACTGACTACACAGCATTTCTAGCTTACATCTCTTAGATGGACATCCTTTGTGGTGCTTTTCATGTTTACGAATACATAGTTGAGGAGCAGATCATCCAGTTCTTTCATATGGTTCGGTGATTTGCTTTATCTCATATTACCAACAGTATATCCTCCTGGGATCTGCTGGCATGTTATCTGTATGAGTTCATGATCTTGTCCCCCTGGTTTATCAGTAATTCTGAGAGACAATGGTGCCAATAATGTAGAGTACCGTCTTCTATTTCTTTTTTGCTGTCACTCTTTTTGTGAAAAGTCGAAAGTACTGATTTTAATGTTTTAGTAGTGGAGGTCTCCCTCACAGTTTAAAGTGATAGCAACTGTACAAAACATCTCTTTCTAAACAAGACTTTATGGCCTCTCTGGCCTGTTTCCTTGGCTTCTGGTTCTTCTCTCCACTCAGGTGTCCGTATGTAGCATTAAGTCTGCATTTCATCTGTTTCTGTAACACCTCCCAGTTTGCCTGAGAAGCTTTTTGCCTGCCCTAAGTTGTCCTTCTCCAAAGAGAGTCACCATATGTTGGTGAGTGAAGCTTGTTCCCTGAATAGGGCTCCTCTCCATGGATGCGAGTTGCTGTTCTGAAGGCCAGAACTTCTCAGCTTTCCAGCACATGCATAGCCAATAGTTGGTCATCAATCGTTTTACTTTCTGTCACTCAGAAGATCACATTTTCCTTCTGAAATATACAGATGGTCTTATGCTAGCCAGAGATTTTGTGATGGGGAGTGACAGTTCATGCTTTAGCACTTTCCATCTCATAGTAACACTGGGACTTTCCTCTCCACGAGAGAATGTCTCTAGCCAGTCTGTGGTGAAGACAGAGCCAATACAGGTAGAAAGTGTCAGGTTTTGAAAAAGGAAGCTCTAGGGAAATTTCATGTAACTTCCTGGCATTAAATGTTGTAGAAACTCCTTATTGGATTTTGGAGACTTGTTAGGAGCGGCGGTGCAAATCTGCTCAGGCAGTTGTGTAACAATAGCTTATCTGAACCAGTCAGAGGAAACCCAAAAGCTGAGAGAAAAACACTAGGATTTTACAAAGTGAGTAATCATTTTTCGCTGGTCTTCCCTTGTGCCTGGGAACGGATCACAGAAGTTTCTTCAGTCCTGTGTTTTATTAGTTTAGTTGTCTGAGATAATGTAGCAATTTTTACATGGTGAGTGTCAGGCCACTTTAGTACTTTCTACTAGGTAGGCACCAAAATTATTTCCCCAAGTTAGTAGTGGCTTTTGAAAATCATGGCCAAAATCACTATCAAGACTAATAAAAATATGTTTTAACGAAATACCATCATGTTAATTTTGTCCCATGAATTCTTACTGTTATCATTGTTTATTATTGATGTGATGGGGGTGACAATGACAAGAGGGTGGTTATATCAAGATCATGTGTGATACATTGTACAAATGTGTAGTGTAGTATCTTGACTAGAAAACCTTAGGAGTGTAAAAAGCAAGATGAAGCAGAGAGATGAGGCAAAATTAGATCTGGAAACATGAGGAGTTGAGGGAGTTCAGTTAGAAACAGTAGGAGTGTGCACATGATGCCTAGGAAGAAACAGATCACCCTTTATTACATTGGTGTTTATTGTATGAATTTGTTACATTAGTTTGAATTTAAGAATGAGATGGATAGGATGTAAGTGGAAGGTATTTAAGATGTACCAGCTGATCTGCTGAACAGGTTTCTGTTGTTCAAGGAGCTTGGAATGGGTGCAGTCTGAGAATGTCACAAATGAAATGCGATAGTGCAAGTTGTGACTATTTTTGGTAGAAGAGTAACGTAAGAAAATGTTCAATATTCTTTTTGAAAACCATTTTGAGAACAGTATTTTTTCAGAAACATTCCAAAAGTGTTCGTTCATTTGGTGTGATTGAGAAGAATGTTCTGTTATATATAGGTCAGCATTGAGGTGGTTGATTTTGATGAAGTGTGTATCTTCTTTTTACATAACAAGAACAGTGTATTTTATACAAGGGAAGTAGAAGAAACTATCATCAAAGAGCTGTCTTGCAAGTGCATGAGTTTGAAAAGTATTATAATATACCCACGCATACTTATTCCTTAACAACTTTCATAATTTTTTTACTGTTAGTGATTTTTAATGGTTTGATTTAATTTATCTAGAACTTTATCAATGGTATTGGACAGGCAGAGAGAGAAGCTTTCTGTATGGTAACAACAGATAAAATTGGCACTAGATCCCACCAAATCATTTTGTTGGTCAGTTAGATTTATGAACTAGAAAAATCAAACTACTTTTAAACAATATCCTTTATAATATAATTCTTGGGTTTAGTTAATAAACTCTGTATTGATTTTGATTTCTAAAATTGTTTTTCAAGTATTGTCAACAAATAGTACGGCACCTGTGGGCCTGCACATGAACGATTCCTTTTGACTACTCAGCGTTTGTTATTCATAGTGTGTGGTTATTCTTAAGTGTCTGTTCACTGAAATCCAGTGAACTGTTGGGATAATATTTTTTAAAATAAGCATATTTTAAAATAACATTAAAACCCCATTCTTTACATTTGCAGCTGTTCAAAGGCTAAAGCAGCATTTTATTTATATATACTCTAATACTTCTCTTGCTACTTAGTGAATCATAGTTAACTGGAACGCTGGTTTTATTAATGAAATATTAATTAATCAGTATTTCTTGACCTTTCATCCGAGTCAGAAGAAAGTGTATTTAGCTAGAACATGAACTTGTTTATTAGGTAACAGGTTTTATGCCTTTATGTTGTGCTGTACAGATGGCGAAACTACTATTCCAGTCATGGCCAACTTCAGAG